GTTCCACTTTCGAAAAAACCTTGTTGTTCATTTTGTCCTTGGGTATTCAGTTTATACACACAGATTACTATAAGCCAGAGAGAACTTTAACATACACAAGAGAAAAGAAAATTATAATAATACACTATATAAGAAGGAAATATTGATCCATCAGTATTAGCAAATGTAAATTCAAACATAACAATGTTTAGAAAATGACAATGTGAAATTTTTTTTTTTTTTTTAAATATTAAAAAAGTATATACATAAGCTCATAAGCCCATTTGTATATGAGCACCACATATACATTTACTGCTAAAAATATAGTAAAAAATATATATAATTAAGTATTAAGAAAGTGACATATTTCAAAATCTAAATTCAGTCCATTTGGTATCAGAGTATTAAAATTAAAAATAAATTTCATTTCTTCCTTCCCTAACTTTTTTATATAGTTGCCCCCTCTCCAGTCTTTTTGAACTATTTTAATTGCACAAAAAAATAAACCTGTAGGGTCTTGATTGTGGAAATTTTTAAAGTGCTGAGAGACAGAATGTGTTTCAAGGCCTTTTTTAATATTGCGGACATGTTCTGCAATTCTTGTATTTAAAGGCCGTATCGTCCTTCCTATATACAGAAGGTTGCAGGGGCATTTTAGAATATATATAATTCCTTTGGAATGACAGGTAAGGTGATCTCTTATTTTGTATTGTTGTCCTATTATTTCACCTATATCTATCAAATGTCTTTTTTTGCTTTTTGTAGCTCTGCATGGCAAGCAGTCTCCACAGCCGTAAAAACCTATGAGGTTACTAATAAAGTGCTTTGGTTTTACTGTTTCTAAATTACTTTTGACAAGGATATTTTTTAAATTATTCGTACCTCTATATATCATCTTGGGTTTAGGGGGTAAAATATCTCTAAGTATGGGATCATCTCTTAAAATATGCCAATGTTTATTGATTACTTTTTGGATCTTTTTGGTATTTCTGTTATATTTACTGATGAATGGAATCTCTTGAAATTTGTTCGAAATATCGGGCAATGACATTGGCCCTCTAGCTTCAGCTTATTTACCCACGACTGCTGCTGCTTGTCCCGTGACCACCCGCTCATAGACCCATATCGAGGAAGATCCTCCAGCAGGCCGGGAGACCCAGATAAGCCACCAGCAGACACTCAGCCCTAACACAGCAGAAAGACCCATAGCTTGGGACACCCCAGAGGAGTTTGGGAGGGAAACTAGAAAGGACCCCACCCTCCAAAAATATCGGGAATTAGCAGACAGTGGGGGGGGATGAGTGGGAGCATTTTATATGGGAGGGTGACAGATTATACAGGTTGACCCAAGGTAGGAGGAGAGGCTGTATCCCTTCGCAGAAGCGCCAACTAGTGGTACCCAGAAAGTACCGGTTGGAACTTCTCCGAATTGGACACAACATTCCGTTGGCAGGGCACTTAGGTGGTAACCGCACCGCCTACAGGATCACACAGACCTTTTTCTGGCCTGGGATATCGAAGGACGTGCGGCGTTACTGCAGTACCTGCGACACTTGCCAATGAGTAGGGAAGAGAGGGGATCACCCTAAAGCTCGACTGTCACCGATGCCCGTGATCGAGGAACCGTTTAGCCGGGTGGCAGTCAACCTAGTGGGACCCCTACCTAACCCCAGCCCCTCGGGTAAGAAGTATATTCTTACAGTAGTGGACTATGTTACCCGCTACCCAGAGGCCGTCGCTCTGACGAATATCCAGGCTGACACTGTCGCCAGTGCTCTAGTCGGGATATTCACCAGAGTGGGATTCCCTCAGGAAATCCTATCTGACCGAGGGACCCAGTTCACCGCAGACCTAACTCAGCAGTTATGGAAGGTCTGTGGTGTCAAGGCCCTGCTCAGCTCCCCGTACCACCCT